CAATTGTTTACTGAAATTTTTGAAAATGGTGGGGTTATAAATTTACATAATCATTACTTGTACTACTATATTGATACAACTTCAGCAAATCACTGAAATAGCAGAGTTATATTTAAATACCCTGTCAACTGCATTATTTTAACGAGGTTACCATAATGTAATAAGATTGATATTCATCACACTCTTTCAACACAATAAAAGATAAAACTGGAACCTCTGGCGTAGAATGAATCCAAAATAAGCACTTTTTTCAATCACCAGGAATGCAGTTTTCTTCATCTCCTGAAGATGTCAACTTGGTTGACATCGAGAAAAATATTGCATTTCTGGTGATTGGAAAAATGCTTGTTTTGCATCCCTCCAACACAGTTTGCAGAAAATTTATAACAAGTTCGAAAACAACGATTTTCTAGAATATCTGCCAGATTAAGGCAGATATATTGATTATATAAAATAGAATTTTGTAGTTAGTTTCTGATAAAAAAAGCTTAGATGGGATTTCAAAACGTTGAAATGTATTTATATTCTTCTTCAAATTTACTCAGATCGAAAAGGTTCATTGTAATCGTGAAAGGTAATATTTTAATAAGATTCAACAAAAAAGTTTAACTTTGAATAATAATCGTCGGTCTTTAAAAATCTCAGTTCGAAAGATACCAATTTATATTGTAATATTGTTCGCTTCATAAATCGTTATTGTGAAATAGTAAACTGACTATATCATATTTTATTTAGATGGCTTCTGTGGATTCCGCAGAAAAAGAAGCAAGTGAAGTACTCCACACTTTATTGTCGGTGGAAAGAATAGAAAAACAAGAAGAAAATGGCGAGAATCACACCACATCTCATTCATTTCAGACGGCTCCTACAGTGGTTACAGAAAATCAGGATGGAGAATCTCAAATTCAGTGGCACACTCCTGTATCTATATCACATTCACTTTTTTCAACAATTGACGCTAGCGGTCATTTTGCACAAAACATGGATGATCAGCAGGTAGTTGTAGAAGTTGAAGATTCATCTTATAATAGTGAAATTTCTCATTTTTGTTATTAACACTAGTTACTTCTTCAGGTAATTTGGGAGGGTCATACCATCGTAGATCCAGAAACTAATAATATCAATACCATATATACAAGTCATCCCATCGAAGAATCAGAAACAGGTGATGAATCTCCTAGGGTTTCGACAAATGGAAAACCAAAAAGTCCCTCAAAAATTAAAAAAAAAATTCCCATGAAAAAGAAAAGGAAACTTGGTGAAGGGGGATTAAGTAGTGATCCAACAAAATTAGAGGAAAGTGCTTCTCAGGTGAAAGACAGATTTAAACGAGGATGTGAGTGCCAAGACGAAAGTTGTTTCCGTGGTTTGAATCCAGAAAGTGTTTACAAACATAGACTGAATATTGCTGAACTAACAAAAGGAGAACATGACATGTACTTGATGGGAGTGACAATGGCTTGTTTAGCAAACCCAGATACAACTGTACGTCATAAAGAAAGAAGAAGACTAAGAGCACAGTATGTGTATCAAGGTAGAAGAGTTTGTCTTGATGCTTTCTTATATTTAGAAAACTGTACTCATTATCAGTTGAAACGGATAAGAAAGCATGTTATGACTCATGGTGTTGCTCCACGAGTACATGGTAATCATGGTAAAAAACCACACAATACTTTTTCATTAGATATCTATCGTCATGCGACCGAGTTTCTCAAACAGTACCTTGAACAGCATACAGGGGAACGAGATATAGTAAATACCAAACAACCAATTCAGCTACCATGGGATGTTACTAGAAAAAATTTACATGATGCATACAAAGAATATGGGCAAATTCTTGAACCTGGCATTAAGTTAATGGGTTATTCCACCTTCAGACATTTCATGAAAGAACAGTTTCCTCATGTAAAATTTTGCAAAGTTGAACCCAAATCATGCCCCTCTTCTCATCATAACAATAATTCTCACTCTTCTAATCAACAGCAACCCCAGCAACAACGCCAACAGCAATCACAAACACAAGTTCAACAAAATCAACAGATACAAACAGTTGTTGAAAGGCCCCGGGAACAAATACAAGTACAAAAATGTGTTATAAACAATGAAGTGCAGCAAGTGATTCCACTGGTTGTGGCCCCCCCGCCAAATGACACTACCGTTAATCAGCACCATCAACAAACATTTCTGGTAACTCCCGTTCCTCAGTTAGTCTCCAACGGAAATATCGTCAACCCGCAAAACTCTGCTAATCATACCACAAACACGTTCTCATATCAGCTTGCCAACACTGGCTATGTTATCAATGAACAAGGAAATATAGTCACAACTATGCCCAGTGCTCAGCACCATACCCCTTATACCTTTGGTAGAATGTAAATCGTGTAGATTTCCCTGATTGGAGAGATTAAGTATGTGTAAAGTTGGAAACATTAAGTATGAAAAAAATGAATAGGCTTCTATTCTATACCCTATACCAAAAATTGTGCTTTGGTATATATTGATTAATTTTCAAATGCTTTATTATATGTGATGGAATTGGCCAATACTTGATGAAAATCTATAACGCATTCTAGAAACACTCTATTGTGAGATTTTCACTGTTGTATAGACCTGCCCAAAAAAGCTTTTGTAAAACACATGTCGCGTTTTTTAAAAACTGTTTGGTGAAAATCACACAAAAAAGTATTTCTTGAATGCTTTATTGATTGCTTTGATGAAACTAGTATTCAATTTTTCGGAATTTTTAGAAACTATAAACCCCTTTTCAAAATAAAATTGCATGTTGTTGAGAAATTGAATATTTGTACCATACCAGTGGAAAAAATTGTGAAATCTCATTGGGTAGAATCCTACGTAAATATTTTTCTCACACACCAGAACTGTTACACTTTTCTTGAATAGACTGTGAAACAATACAATGAGAGATGGTTCATTTGGAAGCCATTCAAGAAGTTGTTCATGTATAATAAATATTTTGGCTAAAATGATTAACAATATAACAAGAAGGGAATGGGTTGGTTTATACCTGTACAAAAATTCGGATATTCTTAAAAGTGTTCAATCAAGTTCAGTTTGTACAGAGAATTTTAATAGTTCATTCACGAGGTGGAGCTGTTACAATTTTTCTATCAGACGAAGGTTTCATACATGCAGTGGAGCAGAGTTGGAATCAATCGAGTTCTAAGCACACTGCTGTTTTCTGCACTGATGAGAGGTGATACCTCGAAACAGGTCTGTAGGTGATCCACTAGACTGATTTCAGCATTGTCCCTCTACTGGATGAATAAGAAACATCTGCAAGGCTAACCTTTGTGAGGTATCTTACATATATGTATGTCGGATATAATTCAATGTTCAGCGTAGTATTAGCCGGGGAAGTAGTTGTTTTCCAGCAGGCATTTGCCAGAATCTACGGTGTAAGTACTTTGAGAAAAATAAATATTTCAAAATTTGATTTTCAAATGTTTATTTTCTCAAGTGTTTATTGCTCTGATTCTGATAATCATTTGATAATTTGCGTGATATTTTATTTTAATGAGTTTACTAGTTACTTGCTCAAGTATGTATGTTTTTCATATCATTTTCAGTTATTCAATACTGGCGGTTATTTAGTGGAACTCTTTGGTATCTGTCGAGCTTTTGGCAATATTCATTGCCTTCTTCTGGGCAACATTTCGTGCTTACTATTGTGAGTAAGAATAAAAAAATTATTTATTCGAGTAGAGGGTAATGTTTTTTCTTTTCGATTTTTTGAAATGAATGTAAGAATTTTACCGAGATTGTTTAGTTCTTATCTTCTATTTATCACTTGTTCTTTGTTATTCGGCTCAGGCATTTCTAAAAATAATCTCTTCGTAGGATTTTTTCCAGTATGTAAAGTCTTAGCATTATTATAATCCATATTATGGTTAAACCGAATAACGTGTGAATAACGCCGATTTGAAAATATGTCAAAGTCAGTTCCACCATTACATTTCACTTGTTTTTGTGTTTTCATAAAAATCCTTTTTTTCATTCATTTTCAGGATAGTAAGTGACAAATGTTTTCAAATAATATATAATCACTCATATATAGTGTTATAGGTATGTATGCCAGGAAATCCAGCGGATTGTCTGGCTGCCAGTTTTGCTAGTTCATTTAGCGTTACCCAGAGTACAAATGTAGTATTCTACTACGGACGCGAACTAGCTTTACATATAAAAAATTATAGCCATACTGAAACCAGGCAAGCCAAATGATATGCCACAAAGTTACCGCCCGATCGCTATACTCAGTATGCTCTTCAAACTTCTAGAAAGGCTCTTGTACAACAGAATTAGTCAGAAGATATTGGATAAAATTCCTGTTGAGCAGGCAGGTTTCCGCCCTAACAGAAACTGCACGGATTAAGTCCTATCACTAACCTCATTCATAGAAGCAGGCTTCCAGACAACAGCCATCTTTATAGATCTGACGGCTGCGTACAATACTGTATGGAGACCAGACATCTTTTTCAAGCTCGTGCGTGCAATACCCTGCAAGAAGACAGTAGACCTGATAGATGCCATGCTCTGTCGAAAACAACAGATAAGATGAAAACGCGTAATAACATCCTCCAGAATCTATGTGGCACCACTTGGAGAGCATCAGCCTCCACACTGAGATCCTCAGCCCTGAGCTTAGTATACTCAGCAGCTGAATACTGCTCCCCGGTGTGGCTTAATAGCTCTCACGTTGACCTGGTTGATGTCCCGCTCAATCACACAATGCGGCTCACTCATTACAGGTACAATCAAACCAACACCCACTTTCTGGCTCCCCACGCTTAGCCACATAGCCCTCCTCACTTCCGTAGAGAGCACGCTGTTGTTAGGAAATCAGGAATATCATTAATAATCCTCAACTACCAATCCACTCCGATACCCTCACCCTCGAAAGAAACAGACTCTGCTCCAGGAATCCCCCTCTTAGAACTGGAAAGTCTCTGCATAATGTCGGTTTTGACAAACTGCCCGCTGGCGAGAAGAATGGAACGTCAATGCTCCGCTAGCCTACCACAACATGCCTTGCATATACAGCAAACCACATGGATTCAACTTACCCTCACTTTTCAAATGGGGTGAAAACCATTCCCCCAGGTGCGACTGTGGAGATGATATGCAAACAATCAGCCACATCGTTGAAGACTGCCCACTGAGGGCCTACACCGGTGACCCCTCTGACTTCCGGACAGCGACTAAGGATGCAGTTGAATATATACGTGACTTAGATGTTTGTTTGTAAACTTAATTTCCTGTGTCTTTTTATGCTTCTATACAGTTAGGTTTGTTATGTTAACTTTTGTGATGTGAATAAGCCATACGCTAAATAAAACTCATGTATATATTACAGTTGTCCTGAAGAGGGCAATAAACATTGCTGAAAGCTCGTTATTATACATATTATACAAATATGTATAATAACTGTATAACATATATGAAAGAGTCATTCAGAAACTCTATTAGTAACTATAATAGCACCCATCTATTAACAGAAGTTTCACTTCATTGTGGAAAACTATATTGCTATTTATTTGTTTCACCTGAATAACTAATTTATTTCAACAACTGATGGCATCATTTTGAGAAAAATCTTCATAGTATGATAATTAATCTATGGCGAGGGATTCATGAAAGATTTTTATTTCGAGTGTTAACACTCTTTCTTTCTCTTTGGTGCTATAAAGACTATTGAAATACCTTTGCTCTGCCCCTGATCATGATGTTGTGATTGAGATGTGAATAGGCCATGGCTAAATGAATGCTGAGTAGAGCAGATTCAACTGAACTTGATCGTAACTGTTTCATAGCATAGTATGATTCATTCAAATTCAAATAAATACAATCAATATGCTTATCCTAATTTAGATTTGAATCCAAATAAGTGCCTTGATTTTTCACTTAATTTTCAGGTTGATGTTTATTAATTACACAAATGCCTTTTGTAACACCTTTTCCAAAATGAAATTTTATTGAAATTGATTTGAAGATGTTAAGAATAAACATTATGATCTGATGGCAGTATCATCAGCGAATATGTTTATATATATCTGTCAACCACCTGTGATAGTAGATCATTAACATATAATAAAAACAGTAATGGTTTAAGAATTGAGCCTTGGGGCACACCGAGCTGAATATTTTTATTTTGGATTTATGATAAAGAATCACACTGAAATACTAAAATATTCCTCTCCGTTATATATAATTAAATCCAAGTAGTTATATTCCTAGGCAAATCTAACNCAAAAAAATTTAGCACTCATCTCTGGTATTTGTCTGAAGAACTTATTTGTTTATTATATTTCGATGGTAATGTAAGCTGAATTTCTAATATTACATCCAGATCAATGGAAATCTGATAAAGATTATGATACATGCTAAACAATTTTGAAAAATTTACGCACCGTAAAACATTATTGTTACCACCAACTCAGAAATGAAAGAAAAAAAAAAGTAGTTCTAATTTATCTTGTAGAAAGTTCACCAATAGTTGTCCATGTTCGAACGCGAAATTAACAGTGAAATCTCCTGCTAAAATTAGTGGCAACGTATGATAGTTATCTTCTAATTCTTTAGAGCGTACTCGACCTTAAATGTGTGCTCGCACCTCTCTCTCTCTCTCTCTCTCGCCCCTACAGCAATAAACAAAACGTAACTTTCTCTCTTTCAATCTTCACTAACTTATACCTCCCTTTCAACTTCCGTTCGCCTCGTCGGATCACACTTCGTAACGCATTCACCAGTTTACTCTCCAAGTCAAGTGCGCGTAAAGACGTAAAGAAGTTTGACTTCAACGTTCGCCTCGCCCGATCACACTTTTCGTAACGCTCGTCACGTTACGTCTTGAGTGCTACTCAATTCTTGATAGCAATCAACATTATACAATATAAATGCAAAGCTCCAATTGAGGCATACATACCTACAAAAGTTTTGATTAACATGCAGGTGTTTCGTCACCTGATACTGATCTACAATTCTCACCAACAAATACAAAAAGTATGGTAATTTAAAAAATAACAGGGCAACCCACCTGAGTTGATATTACAGAACAGTCCTATCGAATATGTTGACAGCACGAAATTCTTGGGCACGATATTTGACCAAAAAACTCAACTGGAAATATATCATGCATCAACCAATATCTTGCCAAAAAACCTAGATATCATAAAAACTATCACATCTAGGAATTGAGAAGCAGACACTAATACATTATCAACAGATACAGAACCCTTATTCAATCCAAACTGGAATATGGCATCGTGTACAACTCTGCTAAGAAATCAGTAATCCAGAATCTAGATGCGATACAGAACAGTGGTATAACAAAAGCGTTGCGAGTAAATTTCACACATCTTTCTGAAAAGTTCGGTTTGTATAATTTTTTGTTTGAAGATAGACAAGTGAAAGCAAACGCTTTTTTTTTCTAAAAAAATACTCCTTTCANTTTCATTATTTTTTTTATTTCAGTTTAAATTCTTCCTTTTTTTACTGTTTGTATATTATTCACATTTCAATTATTGTATAACCCATTTGTCAATTCAACCAAATCAACATAAGAATCTTATGGGTTCCTTCGCAATGTGTGATAGCAGAATGAACAGATATTAAGGTTTTCCTGAATATCTGTAAACCTGAATATGGTACTCAAAATTAAGCACCTTCAATTCCAAACTGTATGAGATGATGATATAATTGAATGAAATGAAAAAAATCAGATTATACCTTTAAAACTGTTGAACTAGTTTCAATTTCTTTAAATAAACTGAAGAATAATATGTCAGAAGATGAATAATTTGGAATCTGTACACTATGCGATTTCACCGACGCATTGCAAACCCACTGGTGACAACGTAGTTAATGCGTTTGTAACGACGGGAACAACAACTTGTGCACTGCGACCGTTACCACATCGCCTTTGATAATGTCTACCGAGGCAGTTGACGAAACGTCAGCAGTTTAGCAGGATAGTAATGATGTCAAAACGCATAGTATTATGACAACAGTGGTCTATTATTCGCTAGCTCATTTGAAGTCTCTTACTGAAAAGGAACTTGGCTAAACGTTATAAATCGGATTTTTGCAAATTTTTTTCATGTGTGAAAGAGATTTCTTATACAGCTTTCCAATGAATCATTTTCTGGCCTATTGTTCTTCAGTCTAGTGACTGTTGAAAGTGAACTTGGCTATATATTTTCAGGGATATGATAAAGTGTCCCTTAGACAGTTTCAAAATGTGTGATCCTGTGGCATATTGTTTTTCTGTCTATTCAAATTATGTGTAGTGAAAATAAATTAGGTTCTAAACATTTTTGAAAATATAATACCATTTTTTTTTAAATTTCATTGAAGTATAAAGTTTTCGTTTGACGGCTTTTACATAAATCATCTCTTGTTATATTTTTCTCAGTCTACTCAAAATGTCTGTATCAAAAATGAACAGGTTGGGTTTAATAATGAATTTTAAAATTTCATTAACAAATTGACCCTTTGACGCATTCTGAAAGAGTCATCTGAAAAATAGTTATTTTCCTATATCTACTCCGTGAAACATTCCTTAGATTTTTTTAGTCGTGTGTTTAAATTCATTATTTGTTTTCGGGATAAATTTCGTCTTGGCATTTCATTGATTGAATTGAGCAATATATGAATTTTATTTTCCATCATACAGTGTGTTCCAATTAAGATGAATAGTCTTATATTTATTATTTTCAGAGGAGAAGAAATAATTTTTTCAAGGTAAAGCAGAGGCAAACATTATTGTGTTTCTACTGAAATTGTTAAATAAGGGAAATTTTATAATATGGGGCATCACGTTGGAGACATTAAAAATACTTGAGAAAGCTTTCAATTAATTATACGGTGGCTGATTAGAGAATAGTTGAATCAACATTTTCCACTACAGTGGATTGGAACAAATAGCCTTTTTGCTCCTGGGACTATCAAGAATAAAGTATACAAAGTAAAACTTAGAAATCACGATGATGCGTGAAATAATTATTCAGGCCTGTAAAGAAATAACAGGAGGAGAACTTAACAATGTTCGTAAAGGGATTGAAAACTACAGGTTGGATGGTAGCTGGATCCTATTCGATAACCTTACATTTGTGAAGTTATTGAACCTTATGAAATATAACTAATTTATTCATTTCAAATAATCGATTTCAATTCCTGTTGCGCTCCATCGATTTTTTAATGTTAAAATTGATTTTGTTCTTCATGGCCCACTACTAAAAATAATGGTAAAAGGTTGTCACTTAGAAAAAACTAGCATCACTCTTTAAATATAACACACCCCAGTTATTTCGATACCCTAGTTCTAGTCCACAACTTCTCCAATACTCCGCCAAGATGTCGCCTCTACACTAAGAAGAACCTTTCAAATTCCAGCATTCATCGACAACTTCAATATTTCCGGTGAAAATAAATATCTCATTCCAAGAGATAACTTTTCTTATACATCTCTCATATACGGTGTTCCAAAAATACCCGAGCCTAACATCTCACTTTCAATCACTAGCCAAACAGTCGTCATGGTATGTCCAAAACTACTGTCACTTCATTTCTAAAATATTTTAATGTACAATGTCCAGCACATATTTTCTTTCTCAGAGCAAATGTTTCTCTCTTCTCCAATCTAACTAGTCCTTGCAAACTTTAACACGGAAGACCAGAGCCATTAACATGTCTCACACCAAACCGACATGTTGGCTTCGACACATAGCTCACGTATATGCCAACATGAATTTGAAAAAGAGTCATTCATTTATTCTGGAACCACATCCACTTTCTACACTACCACATAAAATTTACAATAGAACAATAACCCCTTTACATTCCTGAACGATCTCTTCACGCAATTCAACAATTATTTATACACACTGTTTACCGGAAACCATCCCACACCAACCTGTATCTCAATGCTAAATCCCTTCATTATTCTGCCCAATTGTATGTTTTGAGTTGTTTCATACACAGATCCATCACATTCACCTACAACCACACCAAGCAACTAGACGAGCTAAAAACCGACCATCGACTAAATCATCGAATGCCACAAGGGAAAGTATTAGCTGCGCTGGGTGTCACACAATGTAGTTTGAAAAATACCTACATCAGGTATTTAAAATTGGGAACTTTTGAGAATAGATCAAGACATTGTCAAAAAGTTATTACTATTTTGTGAACCAAACAGTTTTCTATCATGAATTGAAACAGCTAATTCTGGAAGCCACAGATATAAGGATTTTAGTTGAAATAATAAAGTACTCGAGTTCAATAGAGCGGAAAATGCTCTCAGGACAAAATTAAATTGACCACTGCAACTAGTGTCTTGATCAACTAGACTAAAAAAAACCAGACATCACCAGAAGATGGCAAATGAGACTTTGCCGAAACGTTGTGAAAATAATCCTTATGGGGAGAAAATACACAGAACACAGAGCGAAACCCGAGAAAACAGCTCATCATACTTTATCCGTGAGAATCTTCGAGTTAACATATATAGTGGAAACTTGTGCGAGCTGAGGACTAACGAGGTCTTACCTTTTAAGGTGTGATTCCTAAACGTGTTGTACGATATGAAGTGAAAATAGATCGTTCGGCCTTGTGGTTCGAACCACCGGTTCACACAGCGGTGGATTGAATGAGTGAAACAAACCACCCACGTCAACCCACCAGGCTACCGTCCTACCAAATGAATAATTGATTGATTTTGCAATTGAAAGATATATGATAATAAAAAGCACTCAGTTACAATGGAAAAAAATACACACAGGAACATGGAAATCAACCACATACTGATTGAAAAAATAAATGAAATATTATCAAAGATGTGTACTAAGTTGCAAGA